TGGTATTTTTGATCATTAGAAACAGCCGTAATGAATACATGCTAGATAGAATGTTTCACACCATCGAACATTTCAGGCAAAAAAACATAATCTACATGGAGCAGGTAAGTAGCGGGCCCTCCACCAGAAAAGTTGTTCAATGCACCTTTAATTAAAACAAATCAGTCTATTAATCTGGGTTTATGTAATGATAATACAGATTTAATTTATATTTCCAAGAACAGGCTTGACAAGTATGCATGCTTTGAACTACAAATATACATTAAACATCTTTTTTTTCTTCATCAGAAATCGTGACAAGATTCCCTCATCATTTTTGCTAAGGCAGGTGCGTCCATTTCCCAGCAGGCACCTTTGGGCTCCATATTGCTGACCATCTGTCTCATATAGGATTTTGGAAGATGCGTTACTTTTCTACATAAGCTACTAACTCTTAGATTCCTATCTCACATGTCACAAATGGACTGATACCTGTTCTAAGTCGTACATAAAAAAACAGACACAGCAGATGGCATTCAATCAAATTGGTGTTTTTGTTGAGAAATAAAGATGTCAAGGAAAGTTCAGCTCCATCTCATGCCATATGTTTTCAGTAAATTATCATACGTATTTGGAAAATCTTACACAGGTAACAGAGAGAGAAGGGGTATCGGCTGGGGATGGGCACTTAAAGGCCATAAAACTGCAACGTGCCATTGTTGGAGAGGATCTGATTACAGTCATTTTCAATACCATTTTTCTTCTTCATCCTCGTGAGCTGTAATAGGATGTTCAAGTTCCAGAGACCATTTTTATTTTTATTTTACCTTTATTTAACCAGGAGGTCCCATTGAGATTCAGAATCTCTTTTTCAAGAGAAACCTAGCCAAGATAGCAGCCAACACTATGAATACAAAACAGTAAAATTACATAATATCACATTATAACACCATTTGCATCTCTCAAGAAAAACATACACATGTCTCTGTCGCCACACTTTTCACAATTTGCTTGAACTTATCAAGTGACAACACTGAAAGACCTTTTAAGAAGTTTAAGAAAGACGATCGGAGCTATGTAGGAAAATACTGATTTCCCAGCTCAGTGAGGCACCAAGGCACAATGAAAAGTAACTGGGAATAATATAAAATGATGTAGCCTAAAACAGTCTGGCACAGGACCAAAAAAGATCTTGGCAAATGTCCACAAAATCATACCCTTTAAACTCCCGAAGGTGCCCCCATTAAAGGTATTTTAAAGTGATTTTAAAGGGGTGTTCCATCTATAACAGTGCAATTTAGAAGCCATTGCAGGTGTAATTGATTTCCTCCAAGTCATTTCAGTGCAATGTTTGGGTCATTATACAGCGCATTTGGTTGCTCTGCTTTGGTGATGCTCCCGGTGATTTGAAATCCCATTAAGAGCCAGCAGACGATCTCGCTGAGCCATTTGTCTTGCTACGGTTGCATTGATGTGATATGTGGCTTTATATATTGTATTGGTGAATCAGCATCATGTCAAAATGGGGCCCTAAACTGAGAAACTAGGTCTGTGGGAAGATGTGGAAACTAAACATGATGAAGTAGTCTGACAACAGGAGTTACATAGAGAATACTGAGGAGGAGAAATATGTTATCTAATCTCTATGATCTGTAATTCAAGTGGGTCAAAATCAATCCTGTGGAGTGGAGTTGGCTGATATGACAAAAAAATAAATTTATATTATTTTTCTTAGAGACTACAACACAATTTTGATTTTAACACAATTCTCTCAGACTTTGGTTACTTCTTAAAGAAATATATATATGTATATATATATATATATATATATATATATATATATATATATATATATATATATATATATATATATATATATATAACATCACATTGGCTGAATCCATCTGTCATCGCTCAGAACAGAGCAGAGGCTGACCAATAGGAGAAGAGGCTAGGAAAATGTGCCCACATGTTAAGTATAGAACTGTATTTGACACAGAAACAAAATTCAACTTGCGGATGGTAGCTTTAAAAGACACTAAATTAAAGCATGTATTATTAATGTTCAGGAGGTAATATTGAAACATGTGTAAATAAAAAGATGGATCAATAGAGGGGAAATTGTGATTTTTTTTTTTGTTATATTGCCCATAAAATATTTCAATTTTTTTCTTAATCTGTCAAATTCTCTGTTCTTGAAACTGTCGTTTTCACAGAAATCATTAATGTATAACAAAAACATTTTGTTTATTATCATCATTGCTATTCTTAGTATTACGATTATCTTTACAATTTGTGTGTATACAGGTTTACTTGTTTCTCTGATTTTTATTTTGGTGGGACTGTGCCTGTTTGTAATGGCCCTTCATAGGTCAGTAGGAGAGCTATAGCAAGGTCCATCCCCACTTTGTTAATTCTTGATTGAATATAAAAATGTAAAAAACAAGAGAAGCTCTTGTTTTTGTAATATTCAATCAAGATTCTGGAGCTATACTGTGCTCGTTGATCATTGGCTATATGCACCCTGTGTTTGTATATGTTAATATGCACAGCAAATGTATGTATGGCATGATTGTGTATCTTCACCAGTCATCAGTCATGATCTGATCATAAGTATATTTTTATAGTTTTATTTTATATATTATCCAATCACAAGTGGAGCTACACAAGAAGGCCTCTGATAGCATTGAAAAGGACATAAAAGGCTTATGATTTATTGCATATTGAGTTATCTTACCTTATTTAAAAATACTTCATAAATCATCTCAATCTTATGTCTATTAAACTCTGTCCATTACTTAATCTAGAACAGATTCCTAACTGTAAAACAAAACAATTATTCTTTTTTATAATAGCTATCAGTGGCAGAAACACGCCTCATAATTTCATTGACAACTAGCCCAGCATTTCCTCCAAGTTAATTACACCCTTGAACATCTTAGTACCACCCACTGCTCTTTCAATAGTGTGCCGGAAATTAACTGAAATTGACATCTAAAATTAACCATCCAACACTATAGCCTATACTTACTCACTTAAGACAACTCAGCATTACACTGAAGGGCCGATATTACACTGTTTAGTTTTTTGTTATTGTTTTTTGAGGTCTAGACAAAGTAATAATTAAGGGTTGCTATTTTTTTTAACATTGTTTCCTCATCAAAAACATACCTGGAGTTGTGTTTTGTTTCATTCACACGTTTAACACACAAACCTTGCATATTTAGTTCTTCTCTCAAACGGAAAACATTCCACTCCACCTTGTGATGTCATGTGGTAATACAGGACGTGCTTCATTGTGTTTTAAACTCCATTAACATTCACTAGAATCCTTCAGCTCTGAAACTGCCAAACTCTACTAAACAAAAGGTAAAAGGTAGGTGTTAACTTGAGAACTACCGCTTCATGACATCATAAGGTAGAACAAGCCATTTTGAGCTTTGGAGAAGCAGACAGACAAATAATTCAAGATTACACAAATATTTGTGAATGAAATAAAGCACAAGTCCAGGTATGTTTTGATGAACGTTTTATAACAATGTTCTAACTTGGGTTAAAGTTCACAAGACACAATTTTGCATAATATAGGATTCAAATACAATGCGAGCGGTTGGATACATAGACAGGAGGTTTGACAAAGGGCAGCAGTGATCTGTGAAGGCTGCTGGTGCATGGGGGAGCTATCTGGCCGCGCGGTGCTGAGTGGCGCACAGAATATGGATGAAGTTACAACACAACGCTTTCGCCTCACCATCGCTTTTATGCTCCCCGAGGACATCTGAGCGAGAACGGCGGGCAAAAAGCGTGCTTGCCTACAACAGGTGACAGTTTATCATCTACAGAGAAGATCATAAACAACACAGAATAAACCAGCTCGAGAGAGATTTGACGTTATTCCTTTGCCTTTCCAAAGATGTGAAACGCTTTCATCTTTAACCATCTCTGTCAAAAAAAATCCTTCCTCTTAACGCTTTTTATTCACCGAGTCTATTGCACTGATTTTCAATGGGGCGGGTGAAAAGATAAGAGGAACATCAGTTATGCCTTTAATAAGCTGACTCCGCTCCCCAAAGCTATTGATTGAGTTCTGTCAGAGCTAATATATGGCTGCTATGGTCAGATTTATCATTAAAATAAAATATGATGCACCAGGGATTCTTTTAAGTAGCTTTCGAGGCAGTTTGTACCAGCGCATCAATACGTAAGAAAGGAGGAAAGAATGGGTTTCTGTAATGTAATTCAAAGAGACAAATTATTTAATATACAAAAAGTTTTGTTTTAACTGGGGCTAAATGTTCTTAAAGCCAACATACGCTATTTCATTAAGTATTGTTTGTTGAGTATTGTTTGTTCTTCTTTCCCTTTTTTAATGTATTTATTTATTCATTTATTTACATTTTTTATTTATTGTATTTGTTTGTTTGTTTCAATATTCAACATTTCAATATTTTATTCAATATTTTATCATGCAGGTTAGTTGTTGTGGTTACTTATCTTAGGCTTGTTTGTTTGTCAACTGTCATTCATATATCAACATAATAGAAAATCAAAACACTGGTATAACACTGCATACACATTAAAACTGCACTGAATATATATTACAACCATAACACGGCCATTTAGAGGCAGATTTTTCATTTTCATTGGAAAGCACTAAAAGAAAAAAATCTTACGAGGAGGAAGACTGTTATTTCACTTTTTTCATTAGTTTAATTGAGTTGAATCACTGCAGTGGTAATGTTCTACTAATTTACTGTTATGCACCTGTAGTCTTTTCTACCACACAATAAAAGCTGATTTATAAGTGGAATCATCTTGCAAACTGAAATAAAATTGCTAGCACATTAAAAGTCCAAAAAGATTTAAAAAAAGACAAAATCTTGCATAAACCTGAGGAATAGTGCTGAAGTAGTTGCATCATAATCATCAGTTTGTAAGACATGGAAATACTGAAGATTAATCCTGTTTTTAATCAGTCTCATTGAAGAGTAAATAAAGGTTTGCATGATTTGGCGTCTTACCTGATCGGAGCTGCTTGATGCGGACTTGGTTGGTGCTGGTGTCCACCGGGAGGAAGTCCTTGAACCAGGAGATCTCGGGGTCTGGGATGCCGCTGGCAGCACACAGCATGGTGGCTGTCCTGGTGCGCTCCACCACCTTCAGCTGAGGGCCCATGTCAATGCTGGGGAAGCCAAAGGGCAGGAGGTCCTCTGGAGGTCACACAAGGACAGGGAAACAACAAGAAATATGTGAAGAAGTGGTTTGTTTTCAGTGAAATAGTCTCCTGGTTTTATCTGGATTTAAAGGGCCTATATTACTCAAACTGGACTCTTGTGATCATTAAGCAATGTTGTCACCTCATCAAATTACATACCTGTAGTTGTGTTTTGTTTCATTTACACATTTTTAACCCTTTAATATCTGTTTGTCTAAAGCTTAAAATGTTCTGTTCCTCTGTGTGATGTCATGAAGCAAACAACAAAACAGAACTTTTTGTTCAGTAGAGATCAGCAGTTCCAGGGCTGAAATCATCCAAAGGATTCTAGTGAAGGTGTATGGAGTTTAAAAACACCGTGGAGTATTTCACAAGGTGGAACAGAGTGTTTCCAATTGGAAAGAAGCCTAAATATGCAGGGTTTGTGTGATAAATGAGTGAATGAAACAAAACACAACTGTTTAGATAAGGAAACATTATAACATAGATCAAAAAATAGTGTAACATGGGCCCTTTAATCAAAGAACATGCATTAAAAGTTTTTACAGTAGAACAGGGTACATTTTGTAACTTTATAACCTGTTGTAACTTAATTTTAGCAATTTAGAATAGTCATCTGTATTTCTCTGGCATACTGATCTACATAAATTACAGACGGCATCACAGTTGCTTGCCCACTAGTAATTCTAGATCAGAACAATAAGTTGTAGGCTTGTAATACTTGTAAGATTTTGAAGTTGCTGATAAAAATGATTGGTCCACAGTTCAATTACTGCCAGCCATAACCATTTGAGTGACTTTGCTTGTAGAAAGACACAAGACACAAATCTTTGCTAACTTAACTTCTTCTAACTTTTGGTGCCCCCACAAATGAATGACTTTGTAGCATATACTGTGATGGTGAGGAACCTTCACAGAATCAAAACTCCTTACATAAGTTAAAGAAAAGATTATTATTGCTTTTGAGTGAAAATAAGATGCGAGAAATAGCAATTTTTTAGCTATGCCATAAGGAAGCGTTGAGGAGACATAGACAGTGGATTTGCTGTGAAGTCAAACAACTTATCTCACACAGAAAAGCGTTTAGCTGAGCCTGCACGCACACAGCGCTGTAAGTCACCCCTTCTTCCCCTTCCCCATCTGCCTCATCCTGAAAACAAAAATCCTTTCCGCGACAGCTCCTGCGCCGCGCTCTTCCTCATCAAAGGCGTGTAATGCTCCCTACAGCTAGTCATTAGGTGATTCAGTCGGCAGGTTTTTAGCCAGTGTCTGACAGACAGCGCAAACAGACCGCCCAGTCAGCAGGAGCTACTTAAACACGCACACACAGTCATATAGGAGCACAATTCTAACCTACAAATACAGGTGTTTATCCGTGGAGTGACTGATGCTGAGATTTCTGGCCTAATAACTATGCACAGACAGTACTGGAAATTAGAAGCTGGGATCAAGAGGAGGGGCAGGGCATTGAGGGTAATAGGGACTTGTTAGCAGTAATTGTTTAAATGTCCCACAGATTAGACAGACCGTTCAGGGACGTGTCTCCAAGCATTTGGTTATGTCTGATCATTACTTCTGAAGGGAGAATATTATGAGTTTTGGTGTGTGTACATATTTTTGCATACTGAGAAAGGTGAGTCGCTATACACACACGCATAGAAAGTGAATGGGATTAGGCGTATCGGTGACAGCAGTCCAGATGGCCAGACACGTAATCAAGCATCCATGGAGCCCTCCTGTTTCCTACCTCTCCTTAGCCTTTTGCCCACTCGATCTGTCACACACAAGCACGGATAAACACCTCCCCCATACCTTCCAACATAATTACATATCACACTTTTCCAAAAGCGATGAAGTCATTAGCAACGCGGCAATTTGTCTGGATAATAAATCAAGTCGGCAGGGGAAACACACAACAAAAACTTTGGAGGCAGCTGTAACCAATGCCCTACCATTAGACAGTAATTATTATGGCATCTACATATTAGTACCTTTTACTATTTTGCCTCCAAATATTAACTCACAGTTGCTATCAGCTGTTTGGAATGTTACACAGTATACCATTAAAATGTATCTGCCTTGCACTTATTTCACTTGGTGTTATTATTGCTCAAAAATTCTATGAAAAACATGCATTCCATGTCTAAGCAGGGTCACCTCTGCACAGATCTGACTTGTAACTTGACCTGATGGAGGTATAGATATGTTTAATGTCATACTGAGGAGCATTCCAAGCAATTAAGATAAGCCTTGATTGTCTCCAAATGAAGATATTTGTCTTGCGCATCAAAGGCATAAGAAATAGACATCCAGTTTTATACATAATACTCAATACATCTAATCACAATTGTGTCTCTAAGCAGGTGGCGAAACATCAGAAAAGTTCTATTGTGTACCTTTAACATTTTCAGGAAAAGTTATCAAAGGTTGAGTTATTTAGATTTTGGCTCGGCTTAAAAAATAAAACCAGCAGGAGTTGTGCATTACATAGTCTGCATTCACCAAAGCGACAAAGCATCTATGTGGTACTAGTCCAACATTAGTTGAATCAACTGTGTGTGTTTTCTCTGGGTTCCTCTGCTCCTCCGGGCCCCCTGCTACCTAACCACATGACAGACGTGTGCCATCTGCTCACACACGCTCGGTGAGAGGGAGGCAGCCAGATAGGATCTATGGCTCACGTTCTCGCCTTTCCACAGTCATCAGCTTTAAGAGAGCTTTCAGATAGGAATGTCAAGGGTTGTTGATGCAGGCGCTAAGAGGAGGAAAGAGGAGGGGAAATATCATGAGCAGAGTTGAGTGTGAAAAGCTAAGTTTGATGAGAGGACTGTTTAGTTACAGTATTCATTTTGAAAAGCTTGAGACAAAGTGTAAATGTAATGTTAAAAATGCAAAATATTAGGTTAATTCTATTGGTGTGGTGAGAAATGCAACTGTTTTTACAATGTGACATTTTGTGATTTGTGATTTGTGTGTGCACTGTGTTGACTGTTTTGGCTGCTACCTTGGCCAGGTTTCTCTTGTAAAAGACATTCCAAATCTCAATGGGATTTTCTGGTAAAATAAAAATAGGACTGAAACACCTGACAATTAATTTCCAAAAGGTTTCTGGTAGAGATGCACCACTAAGATACTGGTATTGGATATCAACACATATTGAAAATTTTGATCGGATTATCGATTCAAAGATATTGTAGTTTTCAAGGTGTTTATTATATGCCATTTGTGTTTAAAGGAAATAATTAATGTTTTCAGTCTCTGTCCTGGTATTGGTTGATATCGGGTATTGGCTGATACTTAAAGCCAAAGTACTGATATCGGTATCGAAACAGAAAAAGCTGGATCTGTGAATCCCTAGTTTATTGCAATGATTTGAGATTGAATAGTGAATTCCAATATTGGCCTCACTATTTCTGCTCTCTTAATACATCCAGATTTCATAGTTGCAAATGACTTTTTGTACACAGTTCCAACTTTTAAAAAAAAACTTGGAGAGCTATATTTTTTGTTTTTGTAGGTTCAAAAGGTTTCTATTAAATCCACCCACTACTAGACTGTGTTTTACTTACATTTCACTCCCACAGTTTTTAAAATTTTCAAGTGAAGATCCACTGTGAGGGGAATCACCCTAACCCAACCTTTTCCCCCTGAACAAAACTGCCCTTCCACCAACAATCCCAAACCAATCAATGCTAATGATCCACCCCAATAGAGCCCAGTGCTGTTTCCATTGACAAAAAATGGAAGAAGAGAAAAGAAGACGCTGGCTAGATCGATAAGACAGGTCAGAAGGCGATCTCCCCTGAGGTGCAGAGTAAGCAAGGCCTACATCTGCTCCTTGCTGTCCCTGCCCCCCTACAACCACCCCCCCATCTCCAGAGAGGGTTCAGATGGTCTTTTTATCACCCGCCGGCTACCACTACATGGACTCCCTGGCTGTTAATTAGAGCACGGCACTGCAGCAGTCCAGGGGGTGTGGGCTTGGGTGTGTGTGTGTGTGTATGTGGTAGAATATTGCACCCAGGTCTTTAACATTGCAGAAAATAATGTAATGTGATGGTGGACCTTGGACTAAATCAGCAGAGAGATGATGGAAAGGACGAAATGTTGCAGGCGAGATGGATACGTGGTCTTAATGGTGGTAGAAAACTAATATTAGAACAGATTGATTTTTAAATTACTTAAAATTGGTGCGAGGGTGGCTGAAATTATTCTAATAAATTACAAAATGACCATGAATCAATGATAGTCACAATACAGTGGACTTTTTGTATTATAAGCTAGTGGAAAATATTTCTATATAAAAGCTTTATAAAAATAAAAATACAATTCATATCAATGTGCAAATCACAGCACAACAGGAGATCAAACACAGAATAAAAAAGCTGAAAATAAGAAGGAAACAAAAGTTTCACTCAGATTTCCACAACAATACAACAATAAATCACTCTGAATGTTGCATCTGCATGTTGCATGTATTAAAATGCATTTTAATAATTGTAGTCTAGAACTGTGTGCTTAGAAAGTGAAGCCCATTTAAAATGGCAAATGAGTCTATAGCAGAAATGGTTTGTGATTGCTCATTGACTGCATGGATAATGAGCCTCATGGGGAATATGTATGTAACTATGCAGATAATGTTGTAACAAATGCAAAAGTTTACTCAGACGGACATAGGAGTGCCGTAGGTACAGCCATGCTCCTGGATGACTCAGATACTGCCTGAAATAGAGACTGCAGGCATGGCCTCCATAACACTTTTCAGCAAATGAATCATTTATCAAACACAAACAGTGTGCTAAAGCACTGCTGATTTCCCATCTCCTGGTTAAATTGATAAGACAGGCTATGGAGAAATATGCTGTGTGTACATATAAACACAGAGTGTGTCAACAGCATTAGCTGGCAGTGGGCGAAGGCATTGTTCCCCAGAGCTCTGTGTTTGTGTGTTTAGTGTGTATCAAGAGGTTGGGAGCGTTCATTTTGGCCTGGTTATGTTTGCAGAAGGGCAATCAGGCCTGATGCCCAAAACCGGGCAACAGAGCCAACCAGATCTGGGCAAATATGCAATTTGTGCATGAGCGTGCATGGACAGATACACCAGTACAATGGACACACCAACACCGTTAGACACATAGCACAGAGCATGCAAACAAACAAATAAGAGTCCAGATTTCCTCTCCCTCCATCACCCACTCACAGACACGAAGCGCTTAAACATTGATAAAACACACACCCGGGCACCCCTCTCTCACTATTCCTGTTTTAGAAACAGGTTGCCAAGTCATCTTCCAGGTTGATTTCAGAAAGCAGCTTAAAAAAGGCAAGCCTGATTCAGGACTAATCTGGCCCGCTCAGCACTCCAGAGAGTCTACAGACTACAGGAGGGCTGAGGGGGAGCACTTTAAATGCTAATGGCTCTTTATGATAATTGATCACAACACAGTACACAATGAGACAAAGCAGTGTACAGCAGTGCCTCCTAAAACCCAGCCATATACACAAGCTGTGGGCCTCTATAATGGCTCTGTAAGAGAGCCCCTCATGTCCACATGATGTGGGGCCACTTTCCTCATATAAATAACAGAGGAAATAGACTCCAAGGAAGAGAATAAAAGTGCAGTGGCAATAAGGCACAGGAGATGAGGTGTGTGTGATGAAAGAGCTGGCTAGCTGCTGTGGAAGTGTAATCCGCTCAGTTGATACTCGCAGTTGTTTCTCCACCAAAACACAGAATGAGCCAGTGGTCTGCCAGTGCAGCCGGTGCCTCAGGGGAATCTCAGCTGTGTTCTTATGAAGGCTGCTCACCGTCATGGCAACACATCTCTCCCTCCTGCCTCACCCGCCTTCATCCTCTCTACCATCCTTTCTCCTAAAATGGGACACTGGGAGGCGACTATAATCAGGATTACTCTGCACAAATGAGGCACACAGCTCAAATATGAAATGATGAGATCCACGCATGCACATAGAAACACCACTGCAGCAATGAGAATCTCTCGCCCACCAGAGGTTTAAACATGCAGAGCTGCAGAATATTCACATCTCCTCAAGGTGGAGGAGCTGTGCTGCAGTGTCCGGAAAGAAGCGAGACACAAAAGAGGAAAGAGGAGCAGAAGGCTAAAAGACAGAAAGAAGGGAGTCCAGACAGACAAGGGGTCACACAAAATAGATGTCTGGAAAATGAAAGAATGAATAAAACAAGAGGGAAGAAATTAGAAACAGACTTTGCCATGGGACAAAATGAAGCCAGAGAAGTCAGAGATAAAGTGGGGAGAGGAGTCTGAAAACTGTAAAGGGACTGTGAGTGGTGTTTTACATCTTTAAGGCTTACAGAATGCAAAGACTGGCTCAAAACAAAAGATTAGCATGTGATACATTATAAATTTGACAGGGGAAAGAAATAACAAAATGCTACTGGCCTACACCCTGTGAATGTATTAAATAACAGAGCATCTTCTACAACTAACCAGGCTCTCCATCCATTAGATGCACTGTAGTGAATAGCCATATCCTGTGGGTAACCACACACTACCTCTCTTAGTGTTGTTCCACCATTATACAAACCACCACTATAGAAACATACAGTATGAGGGTCTGACATGTGAATGGGAGTGCTTAGGGGGGGATCACTAAGGCTTTTAAATGTTACTGTAAAATGTATTGTGTAAGGAACAATTTGTTTTAACCTGATAATTGTTTTCCAGAACATTTTGATTGAGAATGAAGTCTATTTTTAGAAAAGAAGATCAGTGACTGTTTGTGGAAAAAAGATAAAACTTATGCAGTCAGTTCCAAAAAATGTTTCAGACAACAATGGCAGTTTACTAGTACAGTAGGTTGTCTGGCTATACTAATTTTGCTCATTTTGTTTTAATAAAAGGCCAGCACACAGAGAAAAGGTTTTACACAGGCAGAATCTCCTCACAGACGAGGAGCCCTAGAGCTGCCGTTCTGAGCTCATGTGTTTTAGACTGGGGCTGGGGGAGCACGAGGGCTGGGGTGCAGATTGGCAGGACACTATACCCTGGGCGACCTGCCTTCTGCTCACTACAGCTCGCCAAATCCACACTCCTCATCCATCTTCTGTTCATACTACCTCACCTCTCCCCGACCCCCATCCCACAGCCCTCCCTCCCCCTGTTAAATATCCCCTCATCTGAAACGGCTTGTTGACCAAACTCTAGCCTAATCCCCTGGTTTTCCTCCGTGTTCCAACAGCCGGAGAAATCATCCTTTGTATTATGCTTAGCCTGTGCACCACAAACTTCCTCTGGACCACATTAGCTGAGTTTGACTGGGGAGGGGACATGGCATACATTAGATTAACACCGTCGATGCAGGCCAGGAGGCGCCATGGTTACGCTGACCTGGGCGGGGGCTAAAGCGGTGCTCTTGTGGCTTGATCACGCTCGGCTGCACTCCAAGGGACTATAAAAAGAAAGCCTTCACTGCAGTCCGCTCTGAAGGCTGCTGGGTGTGGCCTGGCTCCAGTCATTGTCACACATGCGATCAGCGGCACAGGGAAAGAATAAGAAAAAGGTGTACCTCTGATAATGGCCAGCTTGGCAGTGATGGACACCTCTCCCTGGTTGTTGCGTGCCACACATTCATAGATGTTCTCGTCTCTGGGGGCTCGCAGCGGCTGGATCCTCAGCACGGCACCTGTACCCTCGTCAAACTCTATGGTCTGGTCAGGCAAAAGAACATACAGGAATCAGTGATGACAAACTAACAGATTATTACATAGGGGAATTATAAAGGAGATCAAATATGGAAAATAAGAAAGCAAATAAAGTATTATTATTAAAATATCTACTTTTAACAATTATTTATTTATTTTATTTATTGTTTGTTAGAATATGGACAGATACACAAACACAGATTAACAATTCAATAATCTGATGCAGGTATCACAGTGTTTAAAGCCCGGGCTAATTCTAAAACACTACTTCGCTGAAGGGCTTTTAAACTGTTCACTAAAAAGCACTGGGTTTATTGGAAGAAAAAATAAATAAATACAGTGAAAGTGTCAAGTGAATTAAATATCAAAATATCACAGACATATAAACTCACACACTGATAATTAAGAATTAACTACTAGAAATTTAATGTGATGTGTAACCTGTACTTAATAATTCATAAACCTACAGTAAATAAAGGTCATGAAGACAAAGGAGCATAACAATTAGAATGTTTAAATAAATCACGTTATCTAACTACTTTGAAATGTCAGTTATCAAACTTGAGCAAATATTAAAAGTACTTGAAGGTGCCTTTGATGCTTATCATTCTCACCACCATTAACAGCATAAAATATAATACCTACTGGAGAGTTAGCATATATTACCTACATAAGATTCAGCTTGCATGTTATTCTAAACCATATTTCCGTGCTTCATTGGAGTATAATCTTTCAAGTGTGCAAGTCAGTATAAACCAGTGCAAGTAGCAGCTCAGGCATTGATATCTGATTGCTCATAATCTTAAAAGGCCATCTTCGGTTCACAAACACAGAGAAGCACACCCCTGTAGCTGCTCGATTGGATCTCATTTCCGTTAGATGCTTCTTGGATGATGAGATATTATCATCACCGACACACTTGTGCTAATAAATCACAATGTAATTAAACTCTCCTATGTAAGAAACAATGTAGGAATTCACAGTACTTGGCCTGTCATTAGTAATACTACTACTACTACTAAGAACTATTGATATATATATAAAAGCTTTTTAGCTCATTATTTATTGTGTGCACAATTGCTTTGCAAAGGTGGTGAGATTTTTGCCATTTTAAGTAAGAACAGTAAGACTTGAGCTGTATACTGGAATAAATAACTTCTACTGCTTTATTTGTTACAGCTCATGCTTTTCATTGATACAGTATATTTATTTATTTTTACTGGGATTATATCTATCTGCTTTATTGTTATTATATCAGATGCACAAAGTAATTTCAATATTATTGTTTATCGCAATATTTCTCTGGAGTAATGCATCGTAATATATCTGTTTTCCTGACAGCCTACACTGTACAGTATGCTTATGTAGGTTGTATTCACACTTGCTACTTCAAACTGCACTTCAAGGTAGACTGTGCTTTCAAATATGGTAATGACAGTGGTATAAAAATCATTAATGCCCTGACATGCAGCTGATATGATATGTGAGGATAGGCAAGATCTAAAGGGAACAGACGCTCAAAATAGCACCCCTATATAAAGTCTTATTGATCAGTCTATTAGTTAAAACCATTAATGAGCTAGAGCTGTGAGGAGGGGTGTAGACGTGGCTGTTTGTAAATACTATTGCAGCATCCTAAGATAAGCTCCAGTGTATTTTAACAACAGAATTAGCAATAGCAACCTGATATTGTGAATAATGTAGATGGTTTGGCATCTGAAACCTGTAATGGCATAGGCTAAATCGAAAATATATAAATGTGGCTTATATATACTTAATGTATAATATATTGGCTTATATTTATACTAAAAGATGTTTGAATCAATAGGTAGTCCACAATGGTTTAGTTAGGTATCTATGTACATAATTGATAATAAATTTTTTTGTCATCTCAAATGTTGGTAAGACTTTATAATAACTAGCCTCTTCATTAATCATTAACTAAGTAGTTACTAAGCCTGAATCATTCTTAATAAACTATTTGTAGTTTATTTAAGTGGTATTGTTAACTACTATGCCAACACGGCTTTTGAGATGTCTGTTCCGCTTCCTTTAATGTTATTGTGAAGTATTGTATATATTTTACATAATAATTGTACTACTATTCTGAACAATGCCCCAGATTCCCTCCGTGACACAAGAGAAAAACATTTATAGATTGTATTGTGTTGTTTTGTCCAGCCATTGAACCGTGCACTGTGACAACCACCTCGATACGCTGGGAGTTGACCTTCTTGCCCTTCTTGTTCCAGTAGACGACCGGTCTGGGATTCCCGTTGGCCTGGCACACAAATGATGCCACCCCTCCCGACACTCCGATCTGATCTGTGGGAATCTTGGTGAACTTTGGAGGAGCTGCAACAACAAAAACACAAAATCAAACTACAATTGACATGACAGTTCTCTTTTTTTATGACACAAAGGGACCACGCCCGTGTCCCTGGCCCAATCCAGTATGACTTGTGATCTGATGACTGTGTGTTGCGCTTCCTGGGTATCATCTAGAGGACATTGTGAAGGACTTCCTGTGGTCATAAATAAAAGATGGGCTTGTGCTTCTGAAGAACATCTCCTCCTCTCTCTCTCTCCATATCTGCGTGTTGGCTGTGATAACCTCTTGGGCAGCCTGGTGACTTGTAAATGCACGCTGCTATAGGCCTGTCACAGCATATGAGTGTTTCACAGGTGGGGAAAGTGTTGGCTGCTCATTCACAGCACATAATTGGTTTAAATGTATTCTTATCGGGAGGTGTCATTTTCAGCCTGCGGTATTACACCTAAAAGGGTTTTTTTGCACACAGCAACGATGGGTTGAAAATAACACTACTCAGTTATTTGGGTTTAGTGGAAACTTCTGGTGCATTATCCAATATTTTTAAATGTTAATTTAAAGCATTGCAATCAGATCCAATACTTTAAGGAGTACACTTTACAACAGTATTTTAAAATATTTGCACAGTTTTATTTATGCTGCTGATAACTTGGACCTGAGTAGGCTACAGTCATTTAATTTCTGTGTATTTTTTTATTCTGAAATGTCAAATAAATTCAAATTCTGATTCTAATTCTGATTCTAATTCTGATTCTGAATGGGAATGCTTTTATATTTCATATTACTGTGCATTACATTCATCAAGTGCCATGTGCTCATTTCATGCATATTTTGGAAAAGAAATGTATACTTTTTAGAAATTGTGTTGTTTTAGAATTAGAGAACCGAGGCATATTGCATTATAGCAGTAAGCTACTGATCTATGACATCAAAATTAAAAGTTTCTGAATACTTAAAACCTAGTAGAAATAAACATTAATAAAACTACTTCTTTCACTTGAATACATCCCCACTCTAACGACACACACGCGCACACACACATGCACGCACACACACACACACTCCATGAGCCAACAGTAATCTACCTCTCCCTAATGTCATGTTTGAGGTGGCCTTCAGCACCTGAGCCAAAACAATCATTTTCCTTGCAGTGCCAAAGCTATATTTTTCACAGCGACTGAGTCAGATCAGTCAACAACTTAAAGCACCAACCCCTTTGCTACGTCTCTGTGTCCTGTTGCCATGGTGCTGGGCTTAACTGCAGAATCCATCAGGGTGAAGTCAGGATGACCCTTACCATGGCAACCTGCATCCCTCCTCCCACTCCTGCAGCGTCTGGGTGGGTGAGGTCCCACTGTGTCGATTCACTCAGGAAACTGGAGAATACCAGCTAGCTATCAAGTCCTAACAAGCACATCCTGAGGCATCTGTCCTTCCATCTCTTGATACTGGCAACACAAATCATTTGCAGTCCTACCGCAATGCACTGACAGTATGCCATCATTTTATAGACCATGTAGGTACACTAAAGCTACCCAAGAGAAACTCTTGGACATTTAGCAGTGTTCAGTTGGTCAAAGAAGTAAAAAATATATATTTTAATTCTATTTATTTACAGATTTCAACTAAATAATAATTACTGAGGTTAATTTTCCATACATTGAAAATGACATTATGTAACTTATCTGGTGGGTTTTCTCCATGGAAATGTTGGTGCTTTTTCTGGAATGTTCAAGTATCACTAAATATATTGCATATATCTAATTTCATATTTTGCTTCAAAAATACATTGAAAAACATAAATTTTTACTGTCTGTGGGGGTCACCTCTCCACAGATCTGACCTATAACTGTGCCTGGTGGTGTTACCTTCTCCTAGAAAATTCCACAGTAGGGCATTCAACATGCCATCATAGAGACAATCTATTTGCACTGCTGTTCTCCCCAGACTGTATACAAAGTCTAGTTAATGTACCTGCTTTTAATGTATGCAGTTTTTTTTATTTTATCATAGTTTATATTTACTATTTATTTATTTATTTATTCATTGCTTTATGTTGTACCATAACACCGAAGCAAGTCCGCATGTGGCAGACCCCCCACTAGAAAAGTAAAATAGTGTAAAAATGTACTGCTAAAATGAAAGGGCTCTCATTATTCCAATTTATCAACAAAAAGGACTGCAATACTATCCACATTATACAGTAATTTAGAAAAATTTATTTTGAATTGCTGGTCAATACACTATAACAGGAAAATTCACCTCACATCAAATTCCTTATTACTTTGACATTTCAAAAACATGATAATTCTTGTCTCAGCTTACCTTATCCAAGATTAAAATAGAAACAAATATGTAAAATAATATTAAATAATATTTAAAACTAAAACTAATAATTTGAGACACAGGCAACATAATACAGATACAGTATAGCGAAATAAACATACTTCAAGATATAACCAACAGTTCCAGATGCGATACACATATTACTGTTTCAGAACCCCTGTATCAAAACTAGCCAATAGCCTCTTTCCATCACCCCTCACTCCCTTTTGCACTTTTACCACACTGTCTTGAGAGCAAATAGAGTAACACCAGCTCAAAATTGCAGCGGGTGTATATTGCCCTAAAGTGGTTTTCTTTTGCTATGATCCTCAATAGCAAAGAGCGGCCAGCCACAGTTTCTACAGTATAGTATTCACTTGGAGCAATTTTATGCCCACCATTTTAGCGCTCAGAGAAGGATATTTCCTGCCTATTAAGCACACAGAAAGCCAGAAAGAGCATTGAACAAATTGCTCCTCGATCCCTGCCAACAATATGAAAATGTGAATGAAAAAAAAGACATGGCAGCGAAAGAGGAAGTGTCTACTACTTCTGGCGATGGGATTAAAAACAAATTTCACGTTGTTACTTGAGACTTTTACGCGGATTTCAGTGGCTTCAGTCGGGGTCCAAAATGTTGTCTGCATTCTCTTAAATACCCTCTAACACCAATCCAAGCACAGAACCAAGCCCCACTGGCGGTGTTACCACTTAAGCCGCTTCAAGAGAGCCAAGGAAAAGCCCCCATAAGACAGCGGCTCGGATGGATTTGCACTCAGCGATGACATGTTATGATCTAAAGGCTACAGAAAAACTAAAATAGAAATAAAAGGAGTAATGAGGATCTGTGTGCGTTAAAAGCCTGGGTTGTCTGAACAGAGCAGGCAGGTCTAAGTAGTGATGTAGTGCGCGGTTCTTTTTAATTAAACACCTTAGTACGCTGTAATCATCCCAGTGACTTAGTGACTCCTGCTGCGCTCAAACAGAACCAGAGCCAGCGGTGAATACAGCGTAACGGTTCAGGAAGAACACTCTGTCTTCTGCAGCTGTGTCAGAGGTGAATGAATTCCTCACAATTTTATATAAAGATTTCATATGGTTTTATTCACAATGCGCAAGACTTCATATACGCTTCCAGTATATCTAAATGCAAAAATCCTAAATGTTGTAATTTTTTTGTTCATCTACTTGACAATTTTAGTAAGATAATGGCACAAACCTCCTCTGCTGGTATTAGACTGTGAAAGACCTAAAGGGTACCTTAATAATGCATCTCTTCCAGTTTGTCTTGGCTGTCAATTTTGCCTCTGTTCTCTGTCCAAGAACATGTAATACACAAGTTGTGTCAATTAGAAATGAATGAGCTAGGCTAGGCCATTAATTAATTTTTCATAATGAGTAATATGCAACAATAAAATATGTATAATATTTGATCATTATTATTAATATAATTATATCCTATTTCTTTTTATATATTATACATATTCTGCCGACTGAGCATGCAAATTACTCCAAACTAAATACAGAAGAACTGCAATAGGAATCTAATAAGAACTGGTGAAATACGGTTACATCTCCTGTTCTCCTGTTAAAGGAATGTATGTCTGCATTGTTGAGCCTAGCTGAAGCTGTGGTTTAGAGTATTACTGAATAGTATTGTATGTCTACTGTATGACACTGCTGCAGAACAATCTCCCACTGGGACAATAATAAAGTTGGAAGTTGAAAGTAAGTGTGTAAGTGTTTCAGTTTGGGTTGGAAAAAGAGAAGTCTATTAAACTGCAATGCACAGCCTGAACCTATATGGTGATACATCCACTGGATTAATTAGGCTATAAATATAAAGACAAGACATATACAGAAATAAACCCATCCTGTCTTTCTGTTACTGTGTAATGAATAAAATCATCTGTCAAATACCAATGTGCTGCTGTGAATATTGACAGTACACATACATTACTGCCTCTATTCAGGGTAGTGATGTTGCCTTTTCAGCCTCTGTCTGTTTGATCAAATAAAAATATGGTGGAGCACTGAGGCAGTAAATGTGCGGAAATGTTGTAATCAAGAAGATGATGAGGAGCATGCTGATGGGACCTCCCAGACTATCAACACACATTAACAATGAGGCCATAGCTGCAGGCAGGAATTGTATTTAAAGCCAATAAAATCAATGTATGGACAGAGAAAGCTGACGTACCCAGGGCTGCCGATTCAGAGCACTGTGGATATGTTAGCAGGACCATCAAAGGCAGCAGCAGAGTCAGGGCGGCGGGGCTAAGGCAAACAGAGCTCCAGGATTGGACCAGAGCACCGCCCGTCCCGGTCAGACGCATGGTTCCTCAAAGGGAAGGATGGCGACTGTGGAGAATCGGGTAGGGCTTCAGTCAGTGGAGGTAGGCACTCTGTGAACACACAGGGAGAGAAAGGTCAGTAAAGTCAGGCATGTGCCAAAAGACATACACATGAAAATTCATAATACATTGTTTTATGCATGTGATTGGTGCCTAGTATCTGTGGGCCTAACATTAGCTTGCAGGGCAGACAGACAATCATTTCTTCTCACATTCTTCCACTCAAGTAACAAAACAAAATTTTCTATATAGTCATGCTGAACAAAATCATATAAATAGAACAAAACTGAATATATTTAGAATTATCTTGAATTTTATAAGAACAAGAAAGAGGGACTTTTGTTTTGCACTATGCAGTATAAAAGGCTTAAAGGGTGTTTTTATTTATGGTGTCCGGTATTTTTTTTATTTGAGTTTTTTATTTGTATAAAAATTGAAGTTTGACCTTTTAATATTTTGAGTACTCCAAGGGAAACTGATAATTGACTCTGTTTCCAATTGACTTTGACTTTGAAAAATTGTTGCTCCTCTCTCTGTCATTGCTGCTGTGAGCCTTGTCATTTTGGTCTTAAAATGTTCTTATTAACTCACTCTGTTCCTATTCCTCATATGGAAATCTGCTCCAAATTCTCTCCTGTAGCATCATGAGCTTCATTTGACTGAAGCTGAACGCTATGGGTGACATCATGCTCCCTTAGTCCACTTCTTTACACAGTATATGCTTTGAGTTAAAGGATGAAACTCACAGCAAACCATGTAGACTACACCCAAAGAGATTTTGCATTGCTCAGATATCCAATGCACACCCTTCATTTACATATTGTTCACAACACATAACTATGATGAAATTTTATGACAAATTTATGTTAATGCAGGATTAATTTTTTTTTCAGAGCACTTGTGAGTTCGGATTAACAGCTCAGCAACGCAGCTCCAAATGAACTAATGCAAGAACAATAGAGCTGCTGCCTCCAAACCAAGACGGAGGAATGACAAGAATCATTTGTGTGTACTTCCTCTGCAGTAACCAGGCTGTGCTGCCACTAAGCCGTGAAATAAGATGCAATAATACATTTTAAAGAGTTTTTTTTTTTTTCATCCCACAAGAGGTCCTAATAATAAATTAATTTCATTCTGGCCTAATTCCTTCTTAGCAGTGAGCGTTTTACTGTTCTGGTGGCACATAAAAGTGTTAATGCAGAAAAGCAGCTCAACTTGGAGTAATTGAAAACACTTACACAAAAAGGATTGAGGGGTCAGTTTAAACTCAGATTCAATAAAAGCTGATTTACAAGAAACAGCTTTATTATTCGCAGTTGTGTCTGTGATTTAAACGGATTTGGATAGCCATTGTAGCGGCGCCCCCGTCTGCTTGTCGATAACTCCACAGTGCGGCATCCCACATCACCCCCCTCCACCCTCCCTTCTCCGTGTAGTGTGTCAGAACACAGGTGGAGAGGCCAAATGAGAAAGCTGCCTTTGTTAACCTGTCATACATCACATACAATAACATCATCTTTACAAATCACTGCACCACCAGGCACCAAAAGGGACATGTATTCAAAAGGTAACGGAGCACAAGAAAATGGTGACATGAAAATGCAATAAAATTTTCACATAATGCAGAAATGTGACAGCACAGATAAATAATAGCTGTAAATATCCTAATCTCAACTAGGATAAGCTGTAATCACTAGAGATATTTAGACTTTTTAGTGTATATCAGCCATAAATCTCTAGCACATAGACTGTATAGAAATGGACATAGCTAACCCACTAGCCACTGCGTTCTAAATAGGAAGTGTTCATGGAGGCGTTTCCAACTCCTTCTGCTCTGTTTCCAATTGATTTTACATTGGAAAATTGTCACCCCGTGCTCTCTCTGTAACTGCTGCACTGAGCCTCGTCACTTTAGTCTTAAAATGTTCATATTAACCCACTCTAAATGATTTATTATTTATTTAGCTATTTCATATGTAAATACATTTTTATTTCTAATATCGACCTGGCTCCAAATTCGCTCCTAGACCCACTAGCTTCAAGCTCAGCTGAATGCTATGGGTGACGTCACACTTACAATGTCCACTTGAGTCTATGTTCCAGCACACTCCAATATTTAGTCTGGTCAATCTGCTGCCCAAAAGATATATACAAAGATTTATTTTAACACTTTAATACAAAGAGATTGCTTGGGGGGCCTAAATGGCATAATTTGAAGAAAATACTCTGCTCCATATATCAGCAGAACTCATTGTTCATCAGTCATTGGTTTCCCTGGATTCTAAAAAAAATGGCATCATCCATGAAAAAAAAAACATTGATTGATCTCTATGTTACACTCTAGTATAATAATAATCTAGTAACCATAATTAGTAATACATATATATGAACATGAAAAATGAACATAAGAATCCAGTGAAACAATGGGGACAGGAGGTGGTTGTTTTAAAGACTGCACTTGACATACAATATTTTAAACTATTTATTTATTTTTAGGTTTTTTTTATGCTACTGATAGTCTGGACCTGAGTCCACAGTGTTTCGCTTCTGTGTATTTTTTTTATACTGAAATAACACATAAATTGTGAGTCTGATTCAGTATGCACTTCACAATGGCATTAATTGATAATTTATTTGATAAAAATACATGAATTGCATTGAATGATTTAAAAAAAACTGTTGCTGTCAAAATTTTGATTTCTTTGAACCTATTTTTAGATAGGTGTGTGTTCATGTGTACAGGTTTGTCTGTACAATGAGTTCTTTGCTGTATGCAAGTCAGGAGAGGAAAAATGTGTTTGATATGAAGCATTCAAGGATTTTTAAGGCATCTGATAAATATAATGATGAATAAAAATGCTTTTGTCAAACATATGGCAATGAGGTATTCAGAGACCATTATTAAAACGCAGATGAAAAAAATACTGAGAGGAAAAATATGAGAATACCTGGGGCCAGTATAATACGCTTTCACAGGTGACAAAGCACAATGAAATGGGGACATAGATATGCAGAACCACACAGATATGTCGACAAAGCAGGACTGATTATGTATATAACCTTATTATTGGTGGTTAGTAAATGAAAGAGGCATTTCTGGTGACTTACATATTCAACGAGTCCCGCAACCACTTATTGAGCTAATGACCTGCTCTAACACATTACCGTCTGCCTCGTCTAAAAATAGCCCATGTAAAAAAAGTCATGTCTATCTGATCCTGGGCCTTTTTCTCGCCTTATCTAGTGTAATAGACATTGGAGAGAAAAGCTTTCAGCATTCCCCTTTTCAATTGAACAACGTGATAAGGCAAATCAGATCAGGGTTCATTCAAGCACCATTGGCAGCATGTTAAGTAAATTCTCCTCTTATGGAAACTCAATTTGCCCGTGCTAATCTAACTATGGCCGCTGCTATGCGTGGAGCCACATTGCCACTAAAATGTTCGAGGTACAGTGCTGTCTGTCTCCTCTTCTTGTGTGTGGATTTGCTGGGGCAATTTTATATATGACCTCAGTCTAACCCGATCTTTCATTCTCGGCCCTCCCTCTTGTCTTTCACCTGCTGACAAAGCCCTGTCATGTCTGGCTCTGTGACCTAATCCTTAAATGGGAAGAGAATATGAAATCCAGTTACATGGGCAAATATACTGAATACTCAAAAGTAAGGCTACCATGAGTTTCTTTCTACAAAAACAATGGTTTTCAATACAGTTCTGATAAAAAAAGATTTTTTTTTAAATTAACTAAAGAAGATCAAAACTACTCTAATGGAAAATATTCAAAGTAGATTACAGATTACACATTTTAAGGCTTACTGGTTTGGCCCCCATTTTGCATTTAAAAGTAATTAATTAGAGGATTATTTAATTGTTTTTTGAACAAATAGTGTAACAACAAAAACAGTCCTAAACTGTAAAAAATATCCCATCAATATTAATTAGTATTTTAATTTAAATGTGATTTTGTTTGTCTATTTCTGATTCTTACCCTCTCGCTCCTACTCGGATGTCCATATTCACTGGGCGCTCCCTCCCTCCTCTCCTCCCCTTGTTAACCTCCCCTCCCTCAGCACTACTTCCTCTGTGGCTCCCTATCATTCATCTTCTTGTCTTTTCGGCACACTCTAACCCCTGCTTGTAGCTCCAAATCCTCTTCCTCTCCCCAGCTGCCCGCCACCGGCTGCTCCAGCTGTTGTTGGTCCATTGACACAGTTCAAACAAAAGGGCTTAGAGCATCCTACAGCTGTGAGTTTCGAGGGAGCGAGCCAAAACAGATACGCGGACGACGCAATGGTGCACCAAGGCGAGTCTGGGCATGCATAGCTAATCGCGGTTAACTCCGGTGAAAGCCATCATTTCCTGTGTGAGAAGAGGCAGGCTTCCGTATAGTGGACTTGGCAACGGCACCGCAGAGGCTTAATGAAGTAATTACAGCTTAAATGTAGCAAGATGGGTATGTTTAGAACTGAGTATTAATGGGCAGTATTGACAGAAGGTATAGCAGAGCACACCTATTACCATTTTACCTTTTGATTTAAATACAGAATTGAGACACAATTATTTTTGGTAGCCCTAATTAGTTAAGTAAAATGGATCTTTTGTATGTACATTAAACAAAAAGACTCCCACAAAACAGAGATCCTTGTGTTCATTCTAAATTAGGATGAATAATGAATCACCATCATTATTCAAGTATATATGGACTTAAAGGGCCCATATTTGACTATTTTCTGACCTGTTATTGTTGTATCCCTGGACATGGGAAATGTTGCAACCCTGTAAATAAGGAGAAAAAAATCACGAGAGTGTTTTAGTGTTGGCTTTCATGCAGGAGTTAGGGTTGGAGGAAGAGCTTATTACTCAACAAAATAATACAGGCTTTCTGTTATCCTAAGTTCTCTCTAAGCTCTCAAACAAAAAGAAAATGACACTGGCTTTGTGGACACAAGATTACAGAGTGCAAGTTCACGATATAAAAAAACGTTAGATCTAATTTCTCAAAATAAAGCAATGAAACATTTCCTTAGCTTCACTTTATCTACTTGACTACTA